GGAGGGTGCATGACCAACCTGGAGACTGAATCCTTCTCTTCTCGAAACAAGTACAAGATAAGCTCCAGCAGTAGGGTGTTCCTTGCCGCCTTAGGGAACTTTAGCTCAGTTTTGGAAGGTGAAAAGGTGCTTCATCCTCATTTCTATTAATTCGCAGTATTTATTCTAAATCTGCATGTTATAATGCAAAATGAGCTTATGATGGAGAGTAGGATTTGACTTGAAGCCAGTAACTCATTTTATAGATGTGATCTAAGAGAAATTACAGCATAATGACTTTATTGCTGTTGACAATTGCTCATTTATGCCAATGATTAGAAATTATAGGTTTCATAGCCTGTTATCAATTAATTGAGGCATCTAATATAATCTTATTACTTTAGACCAGGGGTAAGCAACGTTTTTTGGCTGGAGTGCCAAAAAACACCACAATGCCTACCTTGGAAGGCGCCTGAGTGCCAGCATGGCAGGAAAAACAAAATGAGGGCAAGCGGTACATGGCAGGATGCCCTGCTTGTGCCCCTTGCCCCTCAGCCCTGCTGCCCCGTGCCCCAGCCCCCTAGCCCAGACTCTGTGGCTGCCAGGACCCACCCCAGCTCTGTGTAGCTGCTGGTGCCTGGGCTGCTCCCAGCAGGGCTTGCAGCATCCCAGCTGCCTGCTGGGAGCAGCCCAGGTTCCCAGCTGGCAGCAGCTCTCCAGAGCTAGGGCCAGCTGCAGCCGGGAGGCTCTAAACAGCTGTGCTGGACTCTGGTATCATCTCCGTGCCTCGGAGCGGGCGTTAGGGGAGGGGCCTGAGGCAGTGCAGCCCCAGTCTCTGCCCCGCTCCTAGCACAGAGGTGATAGCAGGGTTCCGGAGCCCGGCGCAGTTGTTTACAGTCAGCCCGGGCTCTGGGCAGCTGCAGCAAGCAGTGGGCAGGCTGCAAACATCTGCGCCAGGCTCCACAGCTCCGTCATCAGCTCCGTGCTGGTGGCAACTCCACAGGCACCTCGGGACAGGCGGTGCTGCCCCGCTGTCTGCCCTGAGGTGCCTGTGCAATCGCCAGCAGCACAGAGCTGATGCCAGAGCTGTGGAGCCTTGCTCAGCTGTTTGCAGCCTGCCCACTGCTTGCTGCAGCTGCTCAGAGCCCGGGCTGGCTGCAAACAGCTGCGCCGGGCCCTGGAGCTGATGCTGGAGCCCATCACAGCTGTTTGGAGCCTCCTGTCTGCAGCCAGCTCTGGCTCTGGGGAGCTGCTGCCAGCCGGGAGCATGGGCTGTTTCCAGCAGGCAGCTGGGATGCTGCAAACCCTGCTGGGAGCAGCCCGGGTTCCATCGCTGGCAGCAGCTACCCAGAGCCGGGGCTGGTCATGGCGTGTCAAGCAAAATGGCCTTGCGTGCCATGCTCGGCATGCATGCTGGGGGTTGCCAACCCCTGCTTTAGACTTTTGACACATTGGATTGATGACAATTTTGTTTATTTGAACTGTATACTCTTGTATTAGAATTGGAAAAATAGAACCAAATAAGAAACCTGTTCTTTTTTTATCAGTTGTTACAAATATATCATCAGTTTACTTTATTATCTGCCTTCTTCTTTCTAAAACTTGCTATTATGGCATAATAACTTGCTTTTAAGGGAAGTTAATATTGGAAATTAAACATTTACATTTTAAACAGTTTATGTATTGTGATTTTAAACTTGCAGAACGATGCTAATGCCCCATTTGATACCATTGAAGATTCTGGAATCAATGCTAAATTTGTGAATGTTGTTTACGATGCCTTACTAAATACCGTAAGTATAATACAATAATACTTCAAGTAAAAAGGAAAAATGACATTAAAACTTCAGGAAATGCACAAGCTTGCCAAATTTGCTGCATGTCTCCCAAGAAGAGATACCATTCTTAGAAAATTCTCTCAGACTTTTAAAAAAATTCCATGAGAACTGCAGAATCTTAAAAATTTGATTCTGTTAAGAAAGCAACTTTTCAGATGCTATTAATGTTTAAGTTGTTATTGAACTCAAGGACCTCAATCAAAACCAAAAAGGTGTAATTCAAGAATAGGAAGGCAAGACTTCTGCCCAGAAATGTCTAATTTGGCACAAGATATAGAATAGAATATACCACAGTAGCGTTTGCTACAGAAAAAAAATTCAAATTTTTTATTCTGACACCAGTCCACTTAGTTTTACTTTACTTTGAACAAAGATCCTAGTCTTCTACATTTTATGTATGATTCATTTGTATATACATTTATAATTCTAATGTGGAATTAACCAAAGTAGTTCTGATAATGATGATCCCAGAAGAGTATGCACAAATTTCCTCTTGATGTTAACTGCATTATCATTATTTTGAATTGTTCAAGACATAAATGTTGTAAACAGAATTGTTTTATTGCAGAACAGAAACCCTTTTTCTAATCCTTATAAATAAGAAAGTTTATCTTTCACTTATGATTCCATAATTCTAATCTTTTAAAACTGTAAAACAAAACAAACAAAAAAAGTCTCTAACAATGCTGTTGTGTGTTTTTTCTTTTTTCCTCCTCTTTTTTTTTTCCCCTAGCCTCAAGATGTTCAGAAATCAGTCCTAAAGGGAATAATTAATGGTTTGCTACAGGAGTGGAAGGGGTAATTATGACTAGTGTTCACATTTGTATTGTCAGGGTTTATTCAAAACCAGCATATTGTACATCTCATACACGACAAAGACCTAAAATGTTGTATATTTGAGAAGTAAAATTCTGTGTTACAAATTATTTGATTTATAGGTATTTTCATTTGGAAGACATTTCTGCTGATCTCCAGCTTGGACAAATCCCCACTCATTGATTGTTCAGATGTAACTGGAGCCATCACTTGTTCAAGGACTCTCCACCAATGTTGTACTATGTATTTCTTCCTTTGATTATGAGAGATACATGCAGCTCAGAAACACCTTTTCACTGACCCCAAAATCCTTTTCCCATCAGGGAAATCTTGTTTTTTTTAATCTGTTTTCTTCCATTGCCCTTCCATAAGGTAAATTGCAGTTCTTCCAAAGTAGCCCTCATGTCAGAGGCTTAAAGGGATGGATGTATTGGTAAATTTCTGTGGTTCCATGTACAAAATCCACTTTCCCAGAATAGTCTTGGTCATTCCTCCCTCTTTTGTTGGATACAGAGGAGAGGGAAATAAAAACAAGTTTTTTACTCCCACCAAAGTGGCTCAGCAGGCAGCAGTAGATTAAAACAAGAACTTTATCTGAATCTACTACTTAAGCATTTATAACTGGCTCCAAAAAAGGGCTGTTCTCACACTGAAATAATTTAAAAGTGGTAGCATCATCACTCTCTCCAAAATATACAGGAAAAACTAGCACATAGACTTCCTTATGAAATGTTTCCTTTAAGGAGCAGTAAAGTCAAATTAGGTACAAATTGTTGAACCAGCTTTAGTTAAAAAACTGGAGTCTGCTGGAGCACGGTAATTATCATGCTCCCGCAGACTTGATTAATCAAGTCTCCTCTAACACATTGTAATAATTACAACGCATTGGAGCAGCCTCTTTGCATGTGTATAGGCGCCCATTGGGACCAACAGATCATAAACTTTTGTTGAAGTCCCAAAGGAAAGAGAGCATCAATTCTAGAAATGCACAAAAATACATGGCAGAACTTGAACTTCCCCAGTCCTTCTATCATTAACCTCAGAGTAGGGATCCATTAACCCAAAAAACAAAATTGCAGAACAAGAAGTCATTCACAGACTGGAATATATTAACCTTGATCTCAGCAGGGACTATGGATTCTTATCCTATTACCTGGATTTGCTTTGGTGTCCCTTCAGGTGTTAACTTCTCCATTTGTCTCTGTTGATCTGTTCTACTCCCCCCAATTATCTCTCTTAGCAGTATCCTCTCCCTTTGTCCCTTTCCCTTCCACATAGTTTATTTTTCTGCCATTCCTTTCTTATAATTTGACAAAGTAGATTGTTGCCTATGAAAGCTCATGCCACTGAACCAGTTATTCTCTAAGGGTGCCTATAAACGTGCAGTGAGGTTGCTCTGACGTGCTGTAATTACAGCTTGTTGGAGCAGACTCAATTAATTGAGTCTGCTGGAGAGTGGTAATTACCATACTCCAGCAAACTCCAGCATCATGTGCATCAGCATCCCTGTACTGAAAATTAGCAGCAGGGGTAGTTTTAACTAAAGCTCATTTGAGCTTTAGTTAAAGCTCCCCTGCTACCACTTTTCAGTGTGGGGATCCTGATTCACCAGATGCTCCAGGCACTTTAATTAGAGCAGCTCTCAGAGCCACTCTAATTAAAGCGCCCCCTCTCCCCCTTGCTCTTTCTCTCCCTCTTTCCCCGTGACCCCCCTTCCCCCCCAGCATGTATATAAACACATTAAGGCCCCTGGCATATATTACACTTAAGATTCAATTAATCAGTTAATTACATCTTAAATAGTAACCTGGCCACATGTTCAGGCAGAAACTAGCCACAAAAATATTTACACAAAATGTGTTATATTAATGTGGCTAATTTCTGTCATATCTTAAATTAAACATGTGGCAGAGTCCCTGCCATGCAGCCTGCATGTTGGGGTTTGGTTGACAGTTCCCCTGTGTCAGCAGGCTACTGGTCATATGATGCTCAAACTGGCTCTCATGGAGTCTTGGAGCTGAGACTGACAATCACCTGATGTGCCGCCCCAGAGTTGGGACTGACCTGGGGTCTCAAACCTGCTCTGGTGCTGTCCCAGGGCTGGGACTGACCATTAGCTGATAGTCCATCTCAGCTTTAGGACCACACAGTTCATGCTGACCTGTGGGCACCAAACTTTCAATTTACCAGTGCAGGAGGAGCCTGCAGTCATAATCCCAGGCTCCCCCTGCACTAGCAAGTAGTAATGGCACAATTGGCATCTGATTCCTGAATCCCAAAATTGTGTGTCCTGCCTTGCGTGTGTGGCATGACAGGAGATGTATTTATTGGGATTGGGGATCAGGCCCTATTGTGCTATTAAGTGAGCATGTACTAGGGGCTGAATTTGTCATCCTGCTCTAACTTCAGACTGACTTCATACTAACAGGGCTAACCACTTCTGTGCTTTTCTTTCATATGGCCACTTTTATTGGCCACCATTGACTCAGTCTGTTAGGAAATAAATACCTTTCTGCTTTTGGAAAGCTTATGAAACAAAGAAGCTGGTAACCCTTGAGCATCTTAACAGAGAAAAATGCCCTTTCGGGGCACTTTTTTTTTTTAACAAGGTCATGATTTAAGAACTCTTACATGTACATCTTTTAAGATACTTCTGGGAAGGAAAGAACAGTATAAAAGGTCAAGTTCTTAATATTTGTCCTTAATGTAGAAGTTAGAAGAGTCAGAATGATGCATTCTCTTTTTAAATTAAATGCAATCATTCTGGTATACATTTGGAGGGCTCTTCAGGATCATAGATCCAGGTAGAAGAATGTCTCCTATTTTACATATTCCTTAGCACCATGCATTGTGAGTATAACTACTTCAGAAGACCATTTCCGGCAAATCAGGTTGTTGAGTGTCTCTACCCAAGGGCTTATGATGATACCCTCTTGCTGCTTCTGAACAATCGGAGAAGGTTGTTGAGCCCCAGCTCAAGTCTGGGATCGTGCCCGGTATGCAAAAGCCAATAAAGATACCAGGGGTGAAAGTATAAAGATTTATTGCTAGCAATACAAGGTGCAGGCGGAATAATTTCACGTAACAAGCACACAGATTCTTAATTATGAGCATCTTTTATACAGGAGTATTGGACCTTCATAAGCATTCTTGTTTGCTAATTGGTTATAAGGGAGTGACGCAAGGAGTTCTTTACTGAGCATGTCTCTATACCTGTGTTTTAGCTATGTATCTCATTTCCATACATGTATGTTTCATTAGCATACTTTCTCCCCACCTAGGGGTGTGAATCTTAATATTTAAATCAGCTCTTTGCCCTACTCCACTAATTCTGTTTTTGTTTTCAAGTCTCCTTTATCTAAGACTGTCTTCTCCTTATCATTGCAATTGAGCATTAGTTACAGAACAGAGACTTTTGCTTGGGCTATGTGTAGTGGTTTCTAGGTCAAACCTAACAAGGTGACTAACTGCCTGAGTAGTGGATCAACAGATGTGGTATTCCTGGAGAAGTAAAAAAACTTAAGAGGCAAGACTCATTCTAACTGTTACTGTATGTCTATATTGTATATGTGATTCTGGGTATGATTGTTTGTTCTCAGGCCCCGAACAAAGGATGATCTTAGAGCATACTTTATACTTCTACAGGTAAGAGAAATAGAAACTTTTTATTTAAGTACATCAATCCACTTAATTCATTATGTATCATCCAGAAGACTGCAAACATAACTAAAATATATAATAAAGCAAACTGTAAATAGAGAGTTATAATATCATGCTGAAATATTCACAGCTTCATTTAGTAATGGAAAAGTCTGCTGCTCTGTGGGCTTTTGCTTGTAGAAATGAAATGGCTTGCATTTCATTAATTCACCAAAAAAAAAAAGAGAATTACTGCCTAAATACCATCTTGCAGGATGAGAGATCAAGGTACGTTTCTTATTTAGTCTGCTGCTGAGGTTTCTGTGGTGTTCAGTTTTCATGTCCACTACCTCAACAAGTTGTATTTAACACATTTTGAGCAGAATGCTGATGTTGCTCTAACAATTCAGGTTGTAATGTGGCAAGAAGCATACAGATTATCAGATAAATGGATCATAATCCAGTGGTTAGGTTGCCTGTGTTCCGTCGACGTAGTATTTAGACATTTCTGCTATGGCTGCATTTCATTTGTAGTCTGAATTCTGCTAACAAAGACAAGGCCTGTAAATGCATTTTCTGCACAAATAGCAGTTTTCTGGTATATGGGGAGAAGGTCAGCTGGGAATCCTAACTGGTACCAGAAAAATGTTTCAAGTTTCAACTAGGAAGGGTCATACCCACCCTCTTTCTCACCAGTAGGGGCTGGGTCCTGAGAGTGGGGGATAGTGAGTCGTGAGTGAGGAGCCCCAGCAGGGTTCAGCGAGCGGCCATGAGTGAGAAGCACTGGCAGGACCAGGGGGCTGAGAGTCAGGAATGAGGGACACCAGCAGGGTCAGGGGGCTGTAGGTTGGGGGCACCAGCAGGGCTTGTGGGTCAGGAGTGAGGGGCTACAGTATGGGAAGGGGCAAGGGTAGGGCACTGGCATATCAGGCCTGCTCAGCACCACAAAGCTACAGAGAGGGCAGCCAAATCTGGACCTGTGTCCTCGTGAGCAAAGGGGTCAGGAGGTGCTCTGACTTTTCCATGATAAAAATCAAAATCAAAAGCCACAATGTAGGTATATAGAATGTATTTTATTGTAATGATTGAGGCACTGGTAGGCTTCAAATTGTAAATATATCAACAAAACATTGTGTTCAGCTGACGCACATGCACACACACATGCATGAACACACACACATTTCATTTTAATGGTGAAAAAGATGTGGATGTTGGGTGTTTTAATCAGAGAATTTGCATTTTTTTTTAAACAGAGGAAACCAGGATCCTTGATCATAACTTTGAATTAAAATTGTAAATAAAATATGCGTTATTTTTTTTCTTGTCTTTATTATAGTAATTATTTTAATAGGTTGCAGTACTAACAGTGTTTTAATATATTTTGCAGAATCCTCAGTTTAGTAACACATCAACATATGTCATCTATGCTCACTTGCTAAGACAGACAGCAGCCTTGGCAGAAGCTGACCATCACTTTCTAGTTCATTGGTTTAAAAAGTAAGTAAATATTTTTCATTCAATAAGACTATGTTTATAGTACTTCCAAAGATGCTAAGTGCTTTTATAATCTAACAAGTTTTAGTTATATTAACTAGGAACTTTTTAAAAAGCATATTTGGGTGCTAACACAACCTTGCTTACAGTTTATACCTATTACAATATTAAGTAAAACATTTTAAAATATTTTCATTTATACAGATAAGGAGTAAATGCATTCAAGGCAAGACAAATTAAGGATAAAGGTTTTTCTGAAAATCTGTTCAAAATTAAAAGATTAATACATATCTTTGATTTTTTTCTCATATTCCCCTCGTATTGTTTTCAGCTTAGTATTGTAGCCTTGACTTGGTTGGTTTCACTATGGCATTTTTATATGCTAACTTGTTTATCGATCAATTAGGTTATATTCACTTAATTTTCACAAATTGTTTTAATCTGCAGTTTTCTAGCTAAATAAGTATTTAAGCATGTAGCTTTGAAAGATTGATTTTTATTTATATTCTGTTACTGATTATGCTCTTTATATTCCAAAGCCTGCATGCAGATTGCAATACTTAAGGCCTGCTTATGGAGGAGTCCTCCAGGAGTAGATCCTGGCTCCACAGGAAGGGGGTGCTCAGGTGCCTTTTGGAGGACTATTCTTCTTCTGCCTATAAAGAGACCTTTCAGTGCAGTCTGCAGATGTAGTGGAAAAAGGAAGGAAAGAGCAGGTTGGGAGGTCATGCATAATTGTTCCCTCCCTACCTACTTCTAAATTATCAGACTAGAAAGTTAGTTCAGACCTAGATTATTTTAACTTCAGCCTATATCTCGGTGGTAAAACCTGTGAACTCTGAAGCAGTTGTACTTATAGGGAACAACAGGGCTGTAGTTTCACCTATGATTTGTGACTTTTGCTTGACCGTCCCTAGCATTTAAGGAAGTCTCTTTCTATTTATCAGTGACTTTTTCAAACATTTCTAAATAGAAAATTCCAAAAAAACTTTCAAAATGAAAAGACCCAGCATCATAGAGTCTCTGTATTTTATATTATTAAACAGCCAATTAACTTTACTTGGCAAAGGAGTATTTCATACATTAGTGTTAAAAAGGTTGGTATCAGTTTAAACTATATCTAGTCTCTGTGGGATGCATTCACTAGGATTATTAAAAAATATAGCTCCCTACCAATATTTAGCAATATGCAGATTTCATGAAACTTTATTTTTTGACTTTTTGTTGTGTGGTAAATACCTCAGAAAAGAACATTAGAATCTATTAATGTGAATTTCAGTATAGGCTGTAATAGCACAAGAGTAACTTAAGCATGTTTCTTCTAGGATTTCACAGAAACGGTTCAAGCAGTTGATGGACAGGTTGCTGCAATTCATTTCTTTACGTCTGTTTCCTGCAAAACCTGAAGAATTTCCACCCATGATAAAATGTACCTGGTGGATTCCATCGGCAACCAAAGTCTTGTCTTTGTTTAGTAGGTTTTTTTCTAAACTTGAAGTATTTTCAATTCACGCTTCTATCAGAATGCACTTTGTTCTTTCTCCTACAAAGAGATCAGTGTCACTATATATAGAGCAACAAAACTGGAATGTCAGAAATTGGTAAGGACATAGAGACCACAGTTTCAACAAGCCATTTTAGTTGCTTTTTCTTGAGGAAAATTAATACACATCTTTCTTTTGCAACAGTAATCAATTATCCTTAAAACAGTAACAAGCCAAAGTGAACAGGTTAAGATTTCACCTAGATTTACAGCAGGAAACCTTATTAAAGTGGTAACTGCCAAAATATCTATAAGTAGATCCAGATATGTAAAATGCTTGGGGGAACATATACACATGATGGAACTTCGCTCCAATGAGTGCTAATTGGCATGCGTCAGAGCAGATAGCCTCCACGTCACACACATTCAGCATCTCCGCTTTTCAAAATGGCGGCAGGGGTGCTTTAACTAAAGCTCATTGAACAAGCTTTAGTTAAAGTGCCCCTGCCACCATTTTGAAGCGCAGGGTGCTGAATGCACATGATACGGCAGGCGCTTTACTTAAAACCACTCTCAGAACCACTCTAATTACAGCCCCTCCCCCACTCCACCCCAGAGCACATGTATAGATGCCCTACTTTCAGCGTCTGAGGGCATCTAAGTCCTGTAGTGTGATCCATAAAGACACCATTTCCCTGTTTAGGCACTGGGAAATTGTAAACGGTTATGCCTTCACAAATAAAGCCCTCCAGGTGCTTAATATTCTGCTATTGTACATTCCTGGAAGTACTGCCATCCTGGCAAGCTGTATGGATCTGTGCCTGAGCACAGTTAGTAGTCACGAAGTAGGCATCCTGGTACTTAAAATTTCTGAGGGATTTAAAACACATCTGATGTGTCAACAGTACTGTGTTAAACACAAACCACAGGAGTTTTAGCTACTTTAATTAAAACCTGGCTGGAGGAAGTGTTGGTCGTGGTTCCACCTCTTTTATCATAGCTGAATGATTTGAAAGCTTGCTCAGAAAGTTGGAAACCTGAGTTCCATGCCCTTCTCAACCTGAAGAAGTTCAAATCTATCGGTGCAGTTGTATGTTAAAATTAGCACATGCTAACTGTAAGAAATGTAAGGCAGTATTAGAGTCAGCACCTGCTGTCAGCATTCGTATGTTAAGAGTTAATGCAGACAGTCCTTGGACTTATGACACAATTGGTTCCTGAAAACTGCCTCTTAAGTCGAAACATCATAACTTGGAGCCAATTTTCCCATAGGAACAATGTTATAAATGGGGGATTGGTTTCTGAACCAATACCCTATTTTCACCAAAAATAATCCAGAATTTTGTACTCGATCAACTATAGATGAGTAATATAGCTACATTAATGTATTTATATTGTAAATAGAAATCATATTGATTTGGAAGGACTTCTTTGAGGTGACTTTGCTGGACTGTTTGAAGGGTTCTTGGCTGGAGTCTTCTCAGGAGTCTTGGCTCCAGGTGTTTTTTGGAGTCTTGTCTGTTTTGTTAAAGAAAGTGTCCAAGGAAGTTTGGACAGATGTTCTTCAGGGAGATGGGTGACGCAGCGAACTTGTTCGCTGGCGTGGCGTGGCCTCAGATCAAGCATTGTGAAGTCGAAACTGACGTCAGAAAGTTGAAACGGGTTGTCAATTTATAAACATCGTAAGTGCTGTTCGTTGTAACTTGAAACGTCTTTAAGTCGAGGACTGCCTGTACCCTCTCTCACATGCACAGCTGAGACTTGCCACTAAAGGGCCTGCAAGCCTGGGCCTGGTTAGAAACTGCCAAGTCTGTTCCATGCCTTCTGAGCTTGCTGACTCTCTAGTAGGAGAATAGGCTCTAGGATGAGACCTGTGCCTTCCTGGAAGTTCACACATACCCGACTGAGTCTGCATTGCCCACATTGGACCCTGCAGCTGCCTGGTTGCTCCCCTGCTCCCACAGTTGCCTGACAGCTTCCCACCCACTTGACCCCACCCTTCTCCCTTCACTCTCTCCCTGCTTCCTCTTCCCCTTTTCTTCCCCCCCCTGCACTCATCTCCCCTCTCTCCACTCACATGTGACTGCCTGGTTGTCCCTGGCTGTCAGTCCAGGGCAATAGTTTTGGACAATACAATAGATAGTCCATGTGGGGAGCGGGAGCTAGAGGCAGTGCATCCTGGGATACTGAAGGCTACAAATTTCTGGTATTGGTCTTGTGGAGCAAACTAACATTTCTGCAATACGAGCTGCCTTATACTAGCTGGAGATAATCCGCACCTGAGGAAGAATATTTTGAGATGCTTAGAGGGTACGTAGCTCATCTTTTCCTGCTTTAACATGTAGACACTCCCATCTTAAGAGCATTTAACACACTTGAAGGTTAGCATAGCAATACTCTGTCTCCCATCAAGATTTTGGGAGACTGTTCATGTGTTTTGCATTAAAGAGAGCAATTGAGTAAAATAAGTAATCAGTGGTAGGAGTAGGGGCTTTCAGGCTGTTGATCCCAATGTCACATATGTATAACTCAGGGCTGCAGTTAGGAGCAAGGCAAGATTTGAAATGTACCCTTTCTTTTTACATGTGTCTTTTTGATTAGCTTTAGGTCTGAAAGAAATAGGTAGCTGTGTTAGTCAGGCAGAAGGCAGGGTAGTTATGCACCTTATAAACTGACTAAATTGGAGATCTAAGTAAGCCCTCTGCCTATGAAAGCTAATGCTATACACCTCTGATTTGGTTAGTCTCTAAAGGCACCTATACATGTGCCCGATGCCTGCTCAAAGCGTTCTAATTAGAATGCATCAGAGCAGACTTGATTAGTCTAGTCTGCTGGAGTATACTAAGTCACATGCTCCAGCAGCCTTGGCATCACATGTATTTAAATGGTAATGGGGGCAAACATGCTTTAGTTAAAGTGCCCTTGCAGCCATTTTGCAGCATGGGACACTGAATGCACAAGGTGCTGTGGGCACTTTCATTAGGGCAGCTCTCAGGAGCAGCTCTAATTAAAGTGCTTCCCACCCCAGAGCACATGTAAAGACGCCCTAAAGGTGCAGCTCTACCTCGCCTTCTGCCTAGTTTAGGCATCTTTTTGCTCAGCAGGCTTGCTGTTGCTGAATCCCATTTCCGATGCCTATTTTTCTGCATGCATTATATAGCAAATTTAGGGACCAGCTTGGGTTACTGAATTCCATTCTGGTAGCCAAACATTTGTGTGGGATGTTTTTAAATCTATAATGTCCCACTTACCTATGTATATATAATTGACTGAAGATCAGTTCCATCATGCTTTTAGTTGTGTGGGTTTGTGGGTTCTTTGTTTGTTTTGTTTTGTTTTTCTCTTCCCCCTTGCCAGGATTGCAGTGAATTCTTAGGGGCATTGTATAATAGTGTTGTGTTACATCAGTAAGTTTGTTTGAAATATCCTGAACTAATTTATCAGGACGTTAAAGGTGAGGTAAGGTATCCAGGTTGTAGCCGTATAGGTCTAGAGGAAAAAGCAATCGGGGTTCATGGTAGAGGTGATATCTTTTACTAGATCAACTAGATTTTTGCAAAAAAAAAAAATTTTTTTCTTGCAGCCTTTTGGGCACAAATACCCTTCATCAGGCATCGGAGACAAGATTGTAAAAGTTCTCCTGGGTAGAAATGAAAGTTCATAGGATTTCACAGATGAGTCGATAGATCGAAATACTCCTCTGGACAGGGTGAGGTAATGAATCGATTGTTTTCTTAATCAGTATGCCTTTTGCTAATATTAGAGTAATGTGTTAACTCTGTTTAGAGCTATTATGATTAAGCTACACTTGGGGTCTCATTAACGTTATAGACTTGCATTGGCATTCAAGATTCTTTAGATTTTTATGTTATATTTAAAAAAAGAAAGAAAAGGAAACAGAAAAAAATACTGTGGGATTTTGGTGTCTGTTATAAAAATAAGTCTCTGCTCATAAGCCTGAGCTTGATTTTTTTTTTTTTTTTTTTTTTAAGTTTTAATGATAAAATCTGTTGAAGCTTTCTAAAATACCAAAAAATTAAATTTAAAAGTATATCCATAACCTTTCCTTAAAGTAGAGATGTGTTTGAAATCAGTACAAGAAAGCAACTTCAGTGTCTAAACTTATTATTCTTTTACTATATATATTTAAACCATTGATGTGATGATATAACATTTTATTATAATGGGGTAGTAATACCACTATGGGTAGTGTTGAAATAAGCTTACTGTTTTGCTAGGTGATTTTTGATAAATGAATTTCCACACACATTTGGTTTGTCTTCAGAATTGTCTCATTAGAGACAGTATTTTGGGAGAGTTCATAATACTGGTTCCATATATTTGCATTGCAGATGCTGCAAATAGTTTAGCTAGTCCTCCTATTATTTCATATACGGATTTCTACAATTCCACACTGGATCATATTGATCTAATGGAAGAATATCATAACTGGCAGTGCTATGGAAATTCTCACAGGTAAGAGGGGTAGATGATGTATTTTATTCAGTGTTGAATTTAAAAAAAACAAATATCCTATCTTCTTTTGGGTTTTTTTGGTTTTGGGGTATTTTTCGTAAGTATTGTATTATTTCTCAAAGTGGTTTAGACATTTTGGTTGAAATCCTTGTCCCAGTGAAATCACTGGATATTTCGCTATTGGCTTGAGTGGGGCAAGGATTCTACTATGCATGCGAATGAGATAACATGAAAGTTATAATATGCTTTTATTATTTGCTATTACTAACATAGACTTGTATTTTAGACTAATTGGATATTTCTAAATATGATCTATGTAACATTGTAGAAAATTATTTTGGAGAATCACATATTATGGCACGGGCAGGCAATTATTTTGGGTGGAGGGCTGGTTACCCAGTTTTGGCAAGCTGTCGAGGGCCGCATGGGTAGCCCTGCCTCTTGACAGGTGCCTGGTTCCGAGTTGTTGACCAGGGGGCGAATGTCCCAAGGCCAGCACCAGCAGGGCCCAGAGTGGGGCGCAGGCTAGCAGGGGTCTGTTGAGCCGGGCTGGGCTGCACCAGCAGGGAGAGAGGGGAGCTGGCCCAGCTCCACAGAGCCCCTGCTGGCCAGGACCCTGTACTCTTGCCACCCTGCTCTGGGCCCCACTGGCGCTGGCCCCGGGACACCAGTGTGGGCCCCATGCTCCCACATCTGCTCACTGTGTCCCCCTGAGCCCTGACCCCGCACTCAGCACCAGCAAACACTGCCCAGTGTGGCAAGCGGGGGGGGCCGCTTTCCTCTGTGCTGAGCA